GTGTGTGTTGACCAGAGAGGCAGGTTATTGCATACAGCTGAGCACAGGAAGAAGGGCCATTACATACAATTGAACAGAGAGGCAGGTTATTGCATACAGCTGAACAAGAAGGCAGGTTTAACTAATCTCTGTAGGGGCGCAGTCTTCAGGCCATTGACATCTGAGGGGCGGATTACAGTGGACATTTTCTATTCACACTGTCAACATTTTTACTCTAACCAGAGGAAGCTTTGCCATCCTTCTGAGCCCTGCCCAGGGAGTCCCATGGAGCTGAAGCTTAGGTCCTTACATGGCTGTGCCCATGTCAACAACATACATTCACCAAGGACTTACTGCTTCCCTACACTAGCTACGAAGACATAATAGACCACATAAGCTAGAGCAGTGGTTCTCAACCTTCCTAAGGCTGCGACACGTTTAATACAGTTTCTCATGGTGTGGTGACCCCTAAACATAAATTTATTTTTGTTGCTACTTCATAACTGTAATTTTCCTGGTGTTATGAGTCCTAATGTAAATATTTTAGTAAACTAAAGGTTTGTCAATGGAGTTGTGGCCCATAGGTTGAGAATCACTGAACTAGAGTCCTGAAACAACAGAAATGGATTCTCTAAGTTCTGGAAGTGAAAAAGTCTAAGTCAAGGTATTGAGAAAACCACATTCTCTTGGAACAGAATAGTGAGAACTACTTTTTGCTGGCTTTTATTTGTTTGATTTTATTATTGTTTTGAGGACAAGATCTCAGTATATAGTCCTCAAACTGCCAATCCTCCAGCCTCAGTCTCTCAAGTGCTTGAATTAAAGATGTCCTCTGGCACACCTAACTGTGGTGATATATTGTGTCCCCCCCCCAAAAAAAAATAATGTGTCTCCCAATAAAATTTACCTGAGGATCACAGGAAAAAGCCAGCCACTATATTAACATAGAAGTCAGGCAATGGTAGCACACACCTTTAATCCTATCTCTTGGGAGACAGGGATCTGTCTGGATCTCTGTGAGTTCAAGGCCACACTGGGAACAGAGGGAGGCATGCTAATACATGCCTTTAATCCCAGCACTAACCATAGAGGTCTGGAGGTTTGTACAGACAGGAAGTAACAGAGCTGGGCAGGAAGAGGAAGTGATGTAGCTGGGCTGAGAGAGCAAATGAGAGAACAGAACAGAAAGGTGTATAGGTGTGGGTAGACAGGAAGTAGCTCACTTTGGAAGCTGCGGAGTTGGTGAGGTGAGGTTAGCTGTGGCTTTTCCTATTCCTCTGATCTCTCTCAGGCTTTAACTCCAATTTCTGGCTCTGAGTTTTTTTTATTAATAAGACCATTTGGAGGGGGAAGACAGGGGAATCCGTGGCTGATATGTAAAATTAAATTAAATTATAAAATAAAAAAATTTAAAAAAAAAAGGAAAAGAAAAAAATAAGACCGTTTAGCAATTCGTCTACACCTATGTAGGAAGAGTCCTTCTTTGTTCATTCCTGCATATGGCTGTGGCCATCAGTCCTTGGCGTTACTTGACTTACAAGTTGTCTCGCTCCAAGATCCACCTCTATTGTCCCCGGGTGTTTTGTTTTGTTTTCCTGCCTTTTTCTTGCTGTCTCTTAGACTGGATTAAGGCTGAGCCCTACTCCAGTGACCTTGTCCTAACTAGTACATGCATAATGATTATTTCCAAGATTATTATTCCTAATTCCTGGGGGGGGGAACCACCTCAGCTTATCTTTGGGGAGGCACAACTCAGTATAGAAGATAATTTGGAATCTAACTGAAATGAATCATCTTGCCTATGACTTTGGAAGTTCTTGAAGGGAAGAAGTACTTATTGCGAATCAGTGCCATACGGGTAAGAAATATCTGGCAACTGTAAAACAAATGTTGGAAGGGTTCTGGCTAATGTTTCAATCAATCAAATAGTCTCTGATTTCTAAGTGAGTGCCCCATGTGTCCCAAAAGATATTAACTTTACAAGGGGTGTAGGAAATAGTTCAGATCCACTTCCTTGTCTTTTTTGGTTTTTTTGAGACAGGGTCTCTCTGTGTAGCTTTGCACCTTTCCTGGAACTCGCTTTATAGACCAGGCTGGCCTCGAACTCACAGAGATCCGCTTGCCTCTGCCTCTCGAGTGCTGGGATTAAAGGCGTGCGCCACCACTGCCCGGCATCCACTTCCTTGTCTTAAAGTCATCTTTGGGGCAGGTTGTGATTTTTTTTTAGGCAGGGTTAGGTTTACACTAGCCCCCTGGTAACATTTTGGAAATATGTCTATCTTTGGTGCTCACAGGCATGCATTAACTCATGCTCTTTTGCCTGTCAGTGGTAGGAACCAGCATCCCAAACCCCTTCTGTTCCTCATTGGGAGCATGACTTCACTGCATCTCTGCCACTGCTTCAAGTTAAGGTAGGGTCATGATGTGAGTGGAGAAACTGTATTTGATGACCCAGACCACGGGTGAAAGAATAGTGAAGAGAGAAAAAAAAAAAGTCTTCAGACTAGAAGACCAATTGAAAGGCTGAGGCAGTTCCACAGGCATGTTGAGGGTAGCCTGAGGCAGGGTTGCATTCCACAGGCATGTTGAGGGTAGCCTGAGGCAGGGTTGAGTTCCACAGGCATGTTGAGGGTAGCCTGAGGCAGGGTTGGGTTCCACAGGTGTGTTGAGGGTAGCCTGAAGCAGGGTTGGGTTCCACAGGCATGTTGAGGGTAGCCTGAGGCAGGGTTGCATTCCACAGGCATGTTGAGGGTAGCCTGAGGCAGGGTTGGGTTCCACAGGCATGTTGAGGGTAGCCTGAAGCAGGGTTGGGTTCCACAGGCATGTTGAGGGTAGCCTGAGGCAGGGTTGGGTTCCACAGGCATGTTGAGGGTAGCCTGAGGCAGGGTTGGGTTCCACAGGCATGGTAAGGGTAGCCTGAGGCAGGGTTGGGCTCCACAGGCATGTTGAGGGTAGCCTGAGGTAGGGTTGGGCTCCACAGGCATGTTGAGGGTAGCCTGAGGTAGGGTTGGGTTCCACAGGCATGGTAAGGGTAGCCTGAGGCAGGGTTGGGTTCCACAGGCATGTTGAGGGTAGCCTGAGGCAGGGTTAGGTTCCACAGGCATGTTGAGGGTAGCCTGAGGTAGGGTTGGTCACAGAGAGAAGCTGTTCCGAGCTTCAGATCACCTTTGTTGCACTGCTCCGAAATACAGCAGTGATAGAAGAAAATGGAGACTGAGAAGACCACACCCTCCATCCCCAACCTTTATTTTCTCCACATCTGACAAAAGAAATAGAAAAAAAAAACAAGCCTTCAGTCTCTCAGACAGTGGCCTCCTTCCTTCCCTCCCAGTCTCCCCCTTCTCTCTCCTTCTTTTTGCCAGCTGCCAGTTAGCCTGATGACTGATTTCTGGGTTCTCCATTGCAGCCACCAGCAGGAACCTAAATATAGGTCAAGTTCTCTCTCTGGGTTGAGGGGTAACGGGAAATCATTAGAACTTATATAAAGCACGTGGATGTGGGTGTGGAAAGAGTAAAGGTGAGCCAGATGTAGCACACTTGAGATTCCAACACTCAGGAGTCTGACACACACTGAGAATCTGAAGTCAGGCTGGCTGGGCTACAGTAAGACTTTGTCTCAATAAACAAAGAAATGGATTCATGTATGTGAACTAAAGCACAATTCCACAACACATGAAGAAATCTAGTATTAAGAAAGGATGCAAGGGGCTGGAGAGATGGCTCAGTGGTTAACAGCACTGACTGCTCTTCCAGAGGTCTTGAGTTCAATTCCCAGCAACCACATGGTGGCTCACAACCACCTGTAATGAGATCTGGTGTCCTCTTCTGGTCGACAAGGACACATGCAGACAGAACACTGTATACTTAATAAATAAAAATAAATCTTAAAAAAAAGAAAGGATGCAAATAAAAATCAGCAGAAGAGGGCTGGAGAGATGGCTCAGTGGTTAAGAGCACTGACTACTCTTCCAGAAGACCCAGGTTCAATTCCCAGCACCCACATGGCAGCTCACAACTGTCTATTACTCCAAGATCTGACACCTCACACACTCACATATATGCAGGCAAAATACTAATGCACATAAAATAATTTTTTTTTTTTTTTTGGTTTTTCGAGACAGGGTTTCTCTGTGTAGCTTTGCGCCTTTCTTGGAACTCACTTGGTAGTCCAGGTTGGCCCTGAACTCACAGAGATCCGCCTGGCTCTGCCTCCCGAGTGCTGGGATTAAAGGCGTGCGCCACCACCGCCCGGCAATAAAAATTTTTAAAAAGAAAGAAATCAGCAAAGGAAATGATGAAGGGGCTGGGGGTGTGGCTCAGTGGTGGAACATAGAACCCTCACAGGAGAGCACCCTCTTTGAACCCCTGGAAAAGAAGCCATTAGCCCAGAAGGCATAGAAATACCAAGAAACGTTTGAGCAAACAGGCCTTGCCGAGCTCCTGTTTTATTACCATTAAATCACACCTTTCTCCTCCAATCACATTTCCACTCCACCATCCATAAGAATGGATGGGTTCCCTGTTTGGATCTTCATTTTTAAAGACTCCGTGTCACATAAAACATAATGATAAATACATCTGGACGCTTCTCTGTTGCTAACCTTTTATTATAGGTGCCTCAGTGATGGAATTCACAATGGATTAGGAATCATTTCTTGACATACTACCCACATTAAAATCTTTTTGAGAACTGCAGGAGGGCTGTGTCTTGCTTTAGGAACAAATGACTCAGAAGATTCTGCCAACCAAAAAAGGCAAATTGAGGCACATGGAATATGAGAATGCAGAATCAGAGGCAATTCATGATGGTCACTGAGGGACCAGGTTCTAGACATCCCAAACTAGAATCCCCCTGATGGTGTACAGGGGTCTGGGGCTTTTCAAGATTTTGTATGTGTGCTAGGGATTTTATGTAGGGCCTCAAGAAAAACATGCACTCTAGTCCTGTCCCACTTCACCCTCAGCCCATGTACAATAACTCCCCAAGAGAAAGACACAGATAACCCCACTGATTAAGCCAATTAAAAATATAAGAGTCCTTTTATTTTTGGCCAGTGACTAAGAGTGGGCTTATGCCTCAAAGTCTTTTGGTGTCAAAGCTCAGAGGGACAGCATTTTTAAAGGCAAAAAACACAATTACATCAATGTTCGATGAGGGTCAGAGTAACATTTGTTTTGACAGAACATAGTAGTTATTTCAGACACAACATGGCAATTAATTTTGGCTTATACCTTCTTCAGTTATTTTAGTTTAAGTTTGTATAAATTTAATTATTTTGGTTAATACTCTGGACCATGGTCAGGAACATGGAAATCTCAAAAGTGTTGCCAAGGCGGACATGTCTGTTGCAGGAGTAGAGGGCTGAGAACTGTCTAAGCAATTACAAAATGAATCAGGGCAAGATGGCGTTACCTTCGTCACCTCATATGGATGGGCTATTATAGATAAAGAATAAAAAGATGGAGGGTGTCATAACACAGTTTGTCACGGTTAGAGTGTTTGACAAGGACAGTGCTGGATGGTGATTAGCAGTGCTCACATGTAATTGTGATAAGTACTGGGTGTGTGTGATGCCCCCAAGGCACACATTTCCTACCTTCCAGGTCCCAGGTTCTGTAAAAAGGACCAAGACCTTAATACAACTGACTCCATGATGGAAGTACCATTCAGGTTGTAAAACTCATCACGTCGACAGCACCACCTACCGAAACTAAAAAGCCTAATCCATCAAAGTCCATAGTCCTGGGAAAGTCTCTCTAAGTGAACTAACTTTGCTTTTTGGCTTCTGTAGTTCTGATTCTTGCTAACTGTTCTTGTTAAATAAAGTATGTCAACCCAGGACATGTTTTTTGTACTTAAAAGCTCGCCCTGAGAACGGCTCAGGGCTACACTGGGATCCTGAACACCCAGTGTAGTTACCAGCTGGCTTATAAAGACTTTCTATTGGCTTAAACCCATGTCTGAGCAGTCTTCTCTGGTGGGTACTGTTAATCCCAATGGCGAGAATAAGACCACTTCCACAATTTGAGCCAAATCTGAAGTAAGCTTGATTTTTTTGTATTAGGGTGCACCCAAGAGCTGGTTAGCAACTCCCTCCTAAGTCAGGTTAAAAAGAGCAGCCCCGAATCCACCTCTTGGGCCCTTTTAAGGAGTAAAATCATGAGTGGTTTTACAGAAGAGAGACAGTGAGGCAATAAGGAAATCCAACAAAACAAAACAAACAAACAAACAAAAAGCCATGTCACCATGTGGTTAGGGAGGGACCAGGGAGGTGAAATGCCCATCCCCTCTTTTTTTTGTTTTTTGTTTTTTTGTTTTTCGAGACAGGGTTTCTCTGTGGAGCTTTGCACCGTTCCTGGATCTCACTCTGTAGACCAGGCTGGCCTCGAACTCACAAAGATACGCCTGCCTCTGCCTCCCGAGTGCTCGGATTAAAGGCGTGCGCCACCACCGCCCGGCTTGGCCATCCCCTCTTATAACAGGACTAAACCTAACAGGGCCAGTTGGTTTTTTTCTTTCCCAGGGGCCAGTTTGCTAAGACCTCTACCCCATATTACCCCACCATCCTATGTTGACTCATGTCTGGCTTCAATCAGACCCTCAGGAAGCATGTACAGACTAGTCTGGTAGCCAATCAGGGTCCTACTTGACCACAAGCAGGAACCGTTCTAGCTATTTTCAGTCAAACAGACCCCTGATACAGCAGACAGACCCCTGACAGACACTGCAACCACAGCACCACAGGTGCTGACCAGATGTCACCAGCCAATCATAAAATGACTCCTGTACCAGTAAGAGTCTATACCCAATCACTTCAAAGTACACTTAACTCCAGCTGGAATTTTCCTAGCCATGCTTAAAAGGCACCTGTGAGCTTCTCCTGGGGTTGCCATTTTGATTTTGCCACTTTATCTGATGGTTTGACCCCAGCATGCTGGAACTTTTTATTCAATGCTTTTGCTGATTACACACATGACTGGTGGTCTTTTATGAGACTTCTCGAGGACCCTAACAAGAGGGTAAGGGAGGGTAAGGGTATCTTCAAAAACAAGTCAAGGCCATGGGTTGGGGAAGGTCAGGTCCCAGGAAAGAGAAAGCAACTCAGCTCTTATAGTAAATAGAAACTTATTTTTTAACAATACAGCATAATGGCTCCTGCCTTCAAAATGGAGTCAGGCAGGTTTAATATACCATAACAGGTTCCTGTGTTACTCAGGGTTCCCTAGAGGAACAGAACCAATGGGAATTTATATATATATATATTCAGATTCAAATTAGTCAGCTTTAAAACAATAACAACAGCAGAGTCATATTTGAGAGCTGAGAACCTGGTTGTTACTTAGTCTTGAGGCTTTGTGTCTGAGTGGCCAGAGAAGTCCCCCAGGAGCTGTCTCTCACTAGGCTCCCTCCTGATGACCCTTAGTTGCCCAGTCCACAAGGCAGGGTGCCTCAGCAGTCCCAGGCTGGTGCCTGAGAGCCTGGAAGGTTCCTGAGGACTAGCTGGTCCCTAGCCCATGTTGAAAGCTTGAGAAAGCTAGTTGTGATGTCAGTGAAGGGAACGGCGGCAGTGGCAGGGCAAACCAGCAGCAGGAAGGAAAGCCAAGTGAGCTAAGGGCAAGATGATTTTCCTTCCTCCCACATCAATCATGGCAATCAGGACAGTTGTTCAGTTGAGGAGCCACGCTCCAGTGATTCTAATTTGTAGCAAGTTGACATTAAAACCATAATAGTTCCATCCTTAGTACCCCCAAACCAACCAAACAAAACCAAAAAACAAAACAAAACAAAACAAAACAAAAAACCAGGAGGCACAAAGTCTGCTCTGAAGTTGCTTTTTTTTTTTTTAAAAAATTATTGTTTGTTTTGTTTCTGTTTGTTTTTGAGACCCGGCTCCACATGTAACCCAGTCTGACCTTGAACTCTCCATCCTCCTGGGTTTTCTCTGCAGTGCTGATGGTACAGGCATGTGCCACCAAGCCTGCCTCTATGTGTGATCTTTGTACATTAGGGCCTGCAGAAAACTTCAGTGTAGCTCAAAATGACTAAGGTGACTGACTGTCTTAGTCACTGTTCTGTTGCTGTGAAGGGACACCATGGTCAAGGCAACTCATAAAAGAAAGCATTTAATTGGGGACTCGCTTATAGTTTTAGAGGGTTAATCCATTATCATCGTGATGAAAGGTAGACAGGCATGGCACTGGAGCAGTAGCTGAGAGGTTTACATCTTCACCCACAGAGAGACAGGAGGAGAGGGGGAGAGAGGGAGGGACCTGGCATGAACTTTTGAAACCTCAAGCCCACCCACAGTTACACACCTTCTCCAACAAGGCCACACCTTCTCCAACAAGGCCACACCTTCCATACAAACTTCAGCACTTTCCCAGCATGAGATTCCTGAGGAAATTCCAGTTTCCTGGAGCCAGCATTTCAATAATCTGATGATCAAAGGGGCCCAAGTGTCCCTGTTAGCATCCCTTCCCTACTGCCAGGCCACATACGCATCTGGTAGCTAACAGGCCCAAATCTTGACACCCACCCATTCTTCTCCAGACCATGACTTTTGTTATTGTTTGTATTTTGGCTCTTAGCTCTTTACTGTTTACTCTTTGGGGGCCCACCACTCTGCTTCCAAATAAATCCACACGGAGGCTTATTCTTACTTATAAATGTCCAGCCTCAGCTTGGCTTGTTGCTTGCCAGCTTTTCTTAACCTTAAATTAACCCATCTGTCTTTTGCTTCTGGGCTTTTACCTTTTTCTATTTTTGTATGTCTTTCTTTCTTACTCCATTGCTGGCTGTGTAGCTGGGTGGCTGGCCCCTAATGTCCTCCTCCTTCTTTCGCTCCTAGATCTCTTTCCTCCTAGATTTCTCCTTCTATATATACTCTCTACCTGCCAACTCTGCCTATCCTTTCTCCTGCCTCGCTATTGGCCGTTCAGGCTCTTTATTAGACCATCAGGTATTTTAGACAGGCACAGTAACACAGCTTCACAGAGTTAAACAAATGCAACATAAACAAAAGTAACACACCTTCAAATAATATTCCACAACAGATTTTGCTGAATATGGAAGTGACATTTGATGGTGTATTTTTACACAGCAGAAGAAAACATGCTTTAGTAAAGAGTTTTAGATTCTGGTGGGTTTTGTTTGTTTGTTTCCTTATTTTTTTTTTAAACTTCTCAAACCATCTTAGTTTTATAGATTAGTTGAAAAATCAGTACAGAGAATTTCTGTAGAGCCTTCACCTAGCTTCCCTGAATGTCAGCTTACATAACTGCCAAGTATTTATCCAAACTCAAAAATTAGCATGGGTCCAACAATATTACCTAAGCGACACACTTCACTGGGATATCACAGTCCCTACCAAGGCCCTTTTTCTGTCCCAGAATTTCTCATATATGTGTAGGTGTTGGGCTTTTTAGTCAGCTCTAGTCTGGCTATGGTTTCTCAGTCTGTCTTTGTTATGCATGAAAAACACTTTGGAAAAGTACTGGCCAACAGGCCCAGAAAGACAACACAGTATTCTCACTTGCATTTGGATTCGAAACAATCAGATTCACAGAAGCAGAGAGAAGAATGGTGTTTACCAGAGGGTGTGTGTGTGTGTGTGTGTGTGTGTGTGTGTGTGTGTAAGAATGTTGTTACAATGCTTCAGTGAGACCAAAGGGATGCATTTTAGTCCTTGGTGGCACAGTATGGTGATCATGATGGTATTTTTCATGTTTCATATTGTTGAGGGTAAGTTGCAAATACTCTAACTACAAAAATAGTATTTGAGGTGACAGGTGTATTAATTTGATTTAATCATTTCATTTTTTGTTTACATATGTATATATATTTACATATATGTTTTGTGTTTACATATTTGCATATATATAATCACTTAGTACCTCAATATATGTATATTTATTTTATTTATTTATTTATTTTATTTATATATTTATTTTTGAGACAGGGTTTCTCTGTGTAGCTTTGCACCTGGATCTCGCTCTGTAGACCAGGCTGGCCTCGAACTCACAAAGATCCTCCTGCCTCTGCCTCCCGAGTGCTGGGATTAAAGGCGTGTGCCACTGCCGCCCTGCTTTTTTTTTATGTATTAAATTTATTTTGGCCCATTTGCTATATTTAATATTACTGTGTGTGTAGTCAAAGGACAATTTGTTGACATCAGTTTTCTCCTTCAACCTTTAAGTGGGTTCTAAAGATGAACTTGAGTCACAAGCCTTTCAGGCAGGTGATGAAGCATAAATCTAGTTAATCTTATCAATTAAAAACCCGGAGTCGGGCTGGAGAGATGGCTCAGCGATTAAGAGCATTGGCTGTTCTTCCAGAGGTCTTGAGTTCAATTCCCAGCAACCACATGTTGGCTCACAAGCATCTGTAATGAGATCTGGTGCCTTCTTCTGGCCTGCAAGCATGCATGTAGGCAGAACACTATATACATAATAAACAAATAAATCTTAAAAAAAAACAACAAAAACAAAAACAACAACAAAAAAAATCCGGAGTCAGGTATTTGGGTGAAAGCTGAAAGATCAGAGAATCAGAGCAGCTAGCCAAGAGAACTTTCTTACCTCTACAAAATCTTGGACTGAAATGGGAGGATCCAGTCTCTACAAATCCTTTGACTGAATGGGCCAAGATCTCCACCTGCCTTATATTCCTGTCTCCACCTTCTGATTGTGCTGGGATTAAAGGCGTGAGCCTCCCATGTGCTGGGATCAAAAGCTTGATCCTCCCTAGTGCTGGGATTAAAGGCGTGAGCCTCCACTGCCCTGCACTGTTTCTCTTTTAGACTGGCTCAATCTCACGTAGCCCATGGTGGCCTTGAACTCCTGATCTTCCTGCTTCCTCCTCCCAAGTGCTCCCATTGCCTGGTCTCTATGGTTAGCTGGTAGCTAGCTCTGCCCTCTGATCTCCAGGCAAGCTTTATTGGTTAGAACACAAACAAAATATCATATAATAAGGTGCCTTTTCCTGAGAAGCCATCCTGTAGGCCCCCTTCTCCCATTTACTATAAAAGACTTAGTCCCTCAACTGCCAAAGCTACTTTAGTTAAAAAAATTATGTATATTTTTTCAATTTTGAAAGGAATGAGCTCTTGTAGAATTTGAGGACAAGTCCTGAAAAGAAGAAAGAAAGAAAGAAAGAGAGAGAGAGAGAGAGAGAGAGAGAGAGAGAGAGAGAGAGAGAGAGAGAAAAGAGAGAAAGAGAAAAAGAAAGAAAGAGAGAAAGAACGGGTTTGGAGGCAGAGGACCTCTGGGAATTCAAAGTCAGCCTGGTATACATGTAAAGTTCCAGGCCAGCCAAGGTTACATAGTGAGACCCTGTTCCCCACCCAACCCCAATCTAAAACAAACAAAAAGAAAAGTGCTGTTCAGGTGTTTTGTAGAAAGTTCCTCAATTTGGATTCATCTGATGATGATTCCTCATGACTACACAGAGGTTGTGAATTTTTTCTTTCTTTTTTCCTTAAGATTTATTTTATTGTTATATGCACATGTTACTGTTTGTTTTAACTCTTTGTGGTCTTGGTCTTTTGGGGGTCCTGCCACCCAGCTCCCAAATAAATCACACACAGAGGCTTATTCTTAATTATAAATGCCCAGCCTTAGCTTGGCTTGTTTCTTGTCAGCTTTCCTTAACTTTAATTATCCCGTCTACCTTTTACCTCTGGGATTTTACCTTTCTTGCTTCTGTATATCTTACTTTCACTCTTACTCCATGGCTGGCTGTGCAGCTGGGTGGCTGGCTCCTAGTGTCCTCTCCTCCTTTTCTTGCTCTTTCTTCTCTTTCTCCCAGATTTCTTCTATTTATTCTCTCTGCCTGCCAGCCCCACGTATCATTTCTCCTGCTTCGCTATTGGCCATTCAGCTCTTTACTAGACCATCAGATGTTTTAGACAGGCACAGTAACACAGCCTCACAGAGTTAAACAAGTGCAACATAGAAGTATGCAACACATCTTTGCATCATTAAACAATGTTCCACTTCGTAAACAAATGTAACACATCTTAAAATATTATTCTACAACATCGATGTGTGTGCCTATGTGATGTTTTTTTTGTTTTGTTTTGTTTTTTGAGATAGGGTTTCTCTGTGTAGTTTTGGTGCCTGTCCTGGATCTCACTCTGTAGACCAGCCTGGCCTTACAGAGATTCTCCTGCCTCTGCCTGCCAAGTACTGGGATTAAAGGCATGTACCACCACCGCCTATGTGAGTTTTTATGTGCACCATGAGAGTGTAGGTGCCCACAGAAGCCAGAGAGTATGGGATCCCCTGGAACTGGAGTTACAAAATAGTTGTGAGTCACCTGAAGTGAATGCTGGAATTTGAACCTTAGGCTGTTTACAAGAGTAACCAGGGCTCATAACCACTAAGCCATCTCTTTATTTGCCTGGAGTTGTGAATGATGGGAAAGGAAATCATATAGGCAATATGCGGTGCCAGAGGCATCATGCTAAGTGCATATGTCATCTGCACAGGACTTTCCGTAACACTTGATTTTGTCTTAAGGTGCCATCTCCATGTTTATCTTAGTTAGGGTTCTATTGCTGGGATAAATACCACCGCCCAAAAGCAACTAGGGGGGAAAGGGTTTATTTTGCTTACAGTTCCGTAGTACAGTCCACCATCTAGAGAAGTCAGGGCAGGAACTCAGGGCAGGAACCTGGAGGCAGGAGCTGATGCAGAGGCCATGGAGGGGTGCTACTTACTGGCTTGCTCCCCATGGCTTGCTCAACCTGTCTTCTTTTCTTTTCTTTTCTTATTTTTTTTATTCCTCAAACAATGATAATTTTATTCTACCATTTCCACCTTGTCACATGCCCTTTTCCCCACCACTTCTTGTAGGTTGTTTTACTGAGCATGGCATACACTTGAACTCTTTTAACACACTTGGCAAATGTGCTGAAAGATTTACATCCTAATGGTCTAGCAAAAGTGCCCACAATGCCCAAATCACTCTGCACAGTACTATAAGCTTGAAGGAATGAGGTCAAATCCATGAGGTTTACTAGGTCATTGATTTGTGAATGGGAATAAAATTCTCACTTGGGTCAACCTGTTTTCTTATAGAACCCAGGACCACCAGCCCAGGGATGGCATCATCCACAATGGGCTGAGTCCTCTCATACCAAGCATAAATCAAAAAAAAAAAAAAAGTACCAGGATTGTGGCAGGAATGTGACAACAAGCTGTACCCCACGGAGGATAAGGGGAGCCATAACTGCTGTCTGCATGCCTGAACTGCAAACACCAACAGGAAGTCAACAACAGCTGTATCTACATCAACAAAATCAACACAGAAAATGGATGAGAGGACCATCCATGCCAGAAGGGTGGCCACAAGCAGGTAGTGTTCTTCCATACAGTGCCAGGCTTAGGATGCCAGGCGCCTGTACCATGTAGGCACTGCCGCACACTGTGGCCACAGCCTGGGGAGTGACCTCTTTTTCCACCTATAATAAGTGCTAGTTTCTGGAGAGAGAGAGAGAGAGAGAGAGAGAGAGAGAGAGAGAGAGAGAGAGAGAGAGAGAGAGAGAAAAGAGAGAATGCAAATGTAGCACAGGCTTGCTCACGGGCCAATCTGGTGAGACATATTCTCAACTGAGGTTCCCCTTTCCAAAATGACTCTGGCTTGTGCCAAGTTGACAAAAAATTGAGGCATCACAATGGTAAAGGCACGGTTTACCCCTTTCTAACCCGGATCACTTGAGGAGAGTTCCTTTTCCACCATAGAGTTACAAAGGAATCATCCGTGCTGTCTGGGCACGCTGGCAGGCCACACAGGGATTAATCAGCACTCAGGAAGGAGGTATAGGAGGCTTAAAAAGATGACGTTTTTCTCTAAAATCTTTACTAGTGACTTCAGTGTTAACCAACCTAAGCCATGGCCATGTCTCTACTTTCTTCCCTCCCTCCCTGTTCTGTCTCTGTCTTTCTCCTCGTTGTCTAGGTCTGTCTTTCTACCTAATATTTCCTCATTCTTCTCTCCTCCACCCAAGAGCCCTTCAATAGGAGGGAGCAGGTCGGAGCTGGACTCCCACAAACTCCTTGGTGTATTCACCATCTCTCGGAAGGCTGAGTGTCTTCTGCCTATGTTGGGCTGTATTTGAAGGGAAGGAAATGGACCTTGGCCTTTGTTCTTTGTGTGGTGGCTTGGATGAGAGTGGTCCCCAAAGGCTCCTATGTTTGAATACCTCATCTCTAGATGATGGAACTGTTTGGGGATGATTAGGTGGTGTGTCTTGTGAAGTAGGTGTGTCACTGGGGTCTGGCTTTGCGGTTTCCAAAGGTGGCCCACTCTGTTTCCTCTCTCTCTTCTTCGAGGTTGTGTCTCAAGATGTGAGCTCTTGCTGCTGCCCCAATGCCATGCCTGCCTGCCTGCTGCCATGCTTCCCACCATGATGGTCACAAACTCGAACGCTATGAAACTGTAAGCCCCAAATAAATATTTTTTTGTAAGTTACCTTGGTCACGGTATCTTATCACAGCAATAGAAAAGTAACTAAGACAGTCTTCCTCTAGATACGTATCTATTTTTATTTTGTGGCATGTCATCTTCCCCCCCAACCCCCCAAGACAGGGTTCCTCTGTGTAACAGCTTTGGCTGTCCTGGAACTCACTCTGTAGACCAGGCTGGCCTGGAACTCAGAGAGATCCACCTGCTTCTGCCTCTTGAGTGCTGGGATTAAAAGTGTGCGCCATTACTGCCCAGCTGCACATGGTCATTTTATCAGTCAGAGTCCACCTTAAGTATTATAACAGAAAGTTTGATTTTTAAAAGACAAAGTGTTTACACTAGGTATTAGGGAATTTTAATCAAAGAGAGACCTGGAGTAATCCCTGTTGGAAGCACCTATCGTGTTTGGGGCCTGGCTACAAAGGCAAGATGTTGGAGCTATTGCAATCTAGAAGCTTGAGGGAGCAGCCCTGCCTGCTCAGGGAAGAATGCCTGGAGGCAGGGGCTGGTGCCTCTGGGGGTGGGGTGGGGAGAGGACACACAATGAAGCTGGTTCTGGGCATGCCAAAAAAAAAAAAAAAAAAAAAAGAGGCAGCCAGAGACTGGTACCAAAGGCTGCAGGGATGGAAGCCTGAAAACCGAGACTGGAGATGTCAAAGGGCTTGTCTTCCGACTCCAGGCTTGCAGCCTCCCTTGTACTGCTCACTGTGGGCCGAGTCCAGGGTGCTGGCAGCAGGTACGGGGAACCAGCATCCCCCGTCGCTGCCTGGCATCACTGTGTGCGTGGAAAACGAATGCTGGAGCAGTGAGATATAACAGCTTCGCCATCAGCAGGATCCTGCAACTTCGTTTATCCACTCACACTTTACACGGCCGCCTAGAATTCAACCATTTAATCCACTTACCCATTTTCACGGTGCTGGATAGTCATGTGGTTTCCAAATTTTATTATCTGAAAGGATGCTGCACTGAACAAGCTTTTCCTTTTCTTTGGATCCTAAACTTCTGTACTCGGGGGCTACTTCATACAGTTATGACTCATATACTGGAGGAGAAAATGTTCATAGTTTTTATTTTTCTGGGCCTTAGTGTTTCCTTCAACATCAAATAGTTCTCACAAATACTGTGCAAACTGGAGTGTTCTAAGCAAAATGTGCTCTGTGTTCACTCTCCTGGAAGAAGGATGGATTCCTACCAAAACAAAGGTGAGCCCCTCGCAGGCACACGGGACAGTGTTCAGGGAGCTTTGGTGGTGGTGACGCCGAAAAAGGAACTTCACCACATGGCCAACATTCCTTTTCTTCTCCTTCAAATACAGCCCGATGTAGGAAGTGGGCGCTCGTTCTTCGGAGAGCTGGTAAACACCAAGTCGTGGCAGCCCACAGCCCGGCATTCTTTTCTTTCAGGTGGCCTTTGAGCTATTCCGGAATGCAAGGGTGCCATCTTGTGGACCTTTTGTATTGAGTTCTTGTTCTTTGAAAGCGACTGTAGTGATACGGCAAGTGCTTCGCGTCATCACTGTTTTCTCTTCTAGTCTCATTTACTCTGGGACACTGAAGTAGTTGTACCGTGAATTTGCACTCCACATTTTGAGAATATGCATTCTTTCTTACGATGGACCTTAATGTACCTAAATTAAAGAAGAATTTTAATTAAACATGTTTACATTTATTTTGTATATGGGTGGGAGAGCCAATCTGGAGGTTACAGGGTAACTTTTGGGAATCAAGTTCTTTCTTTCCACCCTGTGGGTCCTGAGGATTGAACTCAGGTCATCAGCCTTGGTAGCAAGTGCCTTTAGCCACTGAGCCATCTCATAGGTCCCTGAATATTTATTTATTCTTGAGACAGGGTCTCTTTATGTAGTCCGGGCTGGAGGTGTAGACCAGGTGGCTTTGAATTCAAAGAGATCCTCCTGCCCCTCTCTCCCCAGTCCTGGGATTAAAGGCATGCATCACCACACCTGGCACCCCTCAATTTTTAAAAAGAGTTACAATTTATTTTATTTTGCAGTGCTGGGCTGAAAAAAATCAAACTGAGCTCTGGACACATCCGATTCCCTCATCTGTCCTGTGCTGCCCTCTGTACCGAGCTGTGTGCTTATCTGCAGTTTACAAAGCCCCTACTATGTGTCAGGAGTCGTGTGAGGTTTCACAGACACAGCAGTGAGTGCAAACATGTACCTGCTGTTGTGCTGTGGAATGACATTCTGATCGGACAAACAGTATCATCAGACAAAAAATACACTTTCACACTTTCAGGTGATGATGCAGGGCCAGAGACTGGGCTGAGCAATCTTTTTTTTTTTTTTCACATTCATTCACATTTTTTGTGCATATATGTGTGTGTGGCACCCGCATGTCATTGTGAGCACATATGTGAGGTTAGAGGACAACTTGTGGAAATCTATTCTATCCTCCCACCAGGTGGGTCCGGGGGATCAAACTCAGATTGTCAGGTTTGGTGGCAAGACCTTTATCTGCTGAGCCATCTCAGTGGCTCTGATTTATATTTTTTATTTATTTATTTATTTATTTATTTATTTATTTATTTATTTATTTATTTATTTATTTATTTATTTGAGACAGGGTTTCTCTGGGAAACAGTCCTGGCTGTCCTGGAACTCACTCAGTAGACCAGGCTGGCCTCGAACTCACAGAGATCCGCCTGCAGTGGCTCTAATTTCTGACTTACATAAATTGTGGTTGCTATATATAGATCTCATTTCCCACGTCTTAACCTTATTATGTTGGACGCATATTCCTGCTGACGCAGGCCACAGTTCTAACCAAGCACTGTCTTCCTTGGTTCATTTTATTTCTGCCTTTCCTTAGTGGTGAACACTGGTGTGGGCAGTCCTGGCAAGAAAGACTTGGAGCCACCCTCGAGCACATTAGCCTGCTCCCCTGGGTGCATCTGTCCAGAAGGCAGGCTCCTTCTAGGTTTCCTTAAGACTGCCTGTAGCCAGCAGGCACAGGGATCTTGTTTCCTGAATCCATGCTAACCTTTGCAGGATCACATTTCTACTTTTTGCCAGTCTGATAAGTATGGATTGGTATCTTGTCTTAATTTGTGCTCTGCTTACTAGTGAGTGCAGTGCTTTCTTAGGGACTCAGATCAAGCTGTGCACTCTCACATCTCATGGTGAATGCAGTCATCAGCTCCCTTCACTCCTTTCTGACATAACTTCTCACTGTTGCCCAGGTTTGCCTCAAAACCTTGAACTCACGTGATCCTCTCCTCAGCCTCCCAAATAGCTGGGATTACAGGAGCTATTTGGGATTACCCAACTGTGTCCAGCCTCTTCAATTGTTCTCTACCCAGTTGCTAGATATTCTAGAGGGCATTGACTCAGGCTATTCCAGAAATGTGAAGTTATTTAGGGAAACTCTTCCAATATAGTTGTGCCTGAACTCCTGGTTACACGCTATTTTATTTTATTTATAATTCATGTGTGTTACAGCTTTATCTTGAAAAATGAATGTGTGATGCAAGCCTTTAATCCTAACATTTGGGAGGCAGAGGCAAGTGGGCCCAAATTCAAGGTTGGCCTGCTCTACAGAGTGAGTTCCAGGACAGCCAGGGCTACACAGAGAAACACTGTCTCGAAAAAAAAACAAACAAACAAAAACTCCCCCAAAAAAGGAAAAAAAGAAAAACAATAATGGAAACAAACAGACAAACAAATGTTTAGAAAGATTAATAAAGACTGCTATAGTTGGGATATTTTTATATTTAATCCTTTTATCATTTATTTATGTGTGTGTATATGTGTGCATTCATGGGCTACTATGTAACTGTGGGAGCCAGTTCTCTCTTTCACTTTGTTTTGAGGCAAGATCTCTTGTCTCTCTGTTGTAGAATATTAAGATGTATTACATTTGTTTATGCTGTGGAACATTTCTTTAATGATGCAAAGATATGTTGCATTCTTTTATGTTGCAATTGTTTAATTCTGTGTTACTGTGCCTGTCTAAAACACCTGATTGGTCTAATAAAGAGCTAAACAGCCAATGGCAAGGCAGGAAAAAGGACAGGTAGGACTGGCAGGCAGAGAGAATAAATAGGAGAAATCTGGGAGGAAAAGAAGTAGCAAGAGAACAAGAAGAGGATGCCAGGGGCCAGCCACCCAGCCACCCAGCCACCCAGCCACCCAGCCACCCAGCCAGCCATCGAGTAAGAGTGAAAGCAAAATATACAGAAGTAAGAGAAAGGTAAAAGCCCAGGGGCAAAAGGTAGACGGGCAATTTAAAGTTAAGAAAAGCTGGGTAGCAACAAGCCAAGCTTAGGCTGGGCATTTATAATTAAGGGCAAGCCTTAGTGTGTAATTTATTTGGGACCTGAGTAGTGGGCCCCAAAGAACATAGAGCCAAAAGTTTGTTGTTAAAAAAACAACATTTTGGCATACCAACATGGGGCTTGAACATCCCTAGGGTCTGAGAAAGCTGAAAACGAAAAAACAAACAAAAAAAAAAAAAAAAAGAAAGAAAAGAAGAAAAAATATGGATACCACTCTTTTAAGAAGTTCTGCTGTACAGAAACAGCCCTTTTCATGTTAAATAGAAACAAAAAACTAAGTGAAAAATGCCTGCCACTGTGCAGGGCACTGGCAGTCCAGAGTTGGGGGTTTGAATGCAGTTCCTGGTCCAATGCACCTCTGACCAGGCCATGAGCTTTAGGCTTGGCTCTCAGACTTGAGAAGCGGGTGCAGCCGGCAGATAGAGCAGCGAGGAGGATCCAGCTGTAGCTTAGCAGTTTAAAGTTTGCTCACACAGTCAAAAAAGACTAGAGATACACAGTAAAATAGGTCCAGATTTAAAAAAAAAAACAACAACAAAAATCTCTAAACAGGTTCCAGTGTGTTTTACAATGTGTGTAGGCTCAAGAAAGAAATAAAAAGAGTATGGACAATCACAGAAAGACATAGTTTAAAATAATAAAGTCTTCAAAGAGAGCAGTACAGTAAAAAAAAAAAAAATCCACACAATGATGGAAAATACACAGGGAGTCTGAATCCTGTATGTTATTGTGTTGATTTTGAACTTTTTTTGAATACTGATGAGCAAAAGACAGCTGCTAGAAGACATGGGATTGTGAACAGTACTGCAAAATTGAACTAACCTAGATACTTTAGGGCTATCTTAACTTTAAAGCAGAAGTCAAAAAATGTATTTGTAAAATGGAACTTAAAATATGCATTGTTTTGGAGAAGTGGTTTTGCTTTTGTTGCGGTGGTGGCGCACGCCTTTAATCCCAGCAATCTGGAGACAGAGGCAGGTGGATCTTTGTGAGTTCGAGGCCAGCCTGGTCTACAGAGCGAGGCGCAAAGCTACACAGAGAAACCCTGTCTCAAAAAACCAAAAAAAAAAAAAAAAAAAAAAAAAAGACAACTAGTAATCTCAGATATTTTGCATTGGCATGGATTTTGGTATATTGATACAAATTTAACATTAATTTTGTTGCACTGTATATATATTTCTACTTTTGCTTAGGGTATTGTACTTATGCAGTTCATTTAAAAATGTAATGTATAAGTAAGAAATGTGGTTAGTAGTTAATGTATAATAATTAAACTTGTAGTAATTAGGCATGCTTTCAAGGTTAAATAGATATATTTTAGATTAAATGGTCTTCAAATACTTTAAAGACCTATAGAATATGGCATTTACAATGTTTTGTTAACATAAGGTTTTCATGACAATGAGACACATCTGCTCCTGGCAGCACCAATTTACTTCAGAGATGATGGACACTGAAGAAACTCCTTGTGGAGTTTGCTTTCATTGTGGCAAGGTTAGACACTAGGCAAAGAAACTGCTCTTGCCTTTGACTGCTGACAATGTGCTCTGTAGACTGGACACACAGGACACGCAGGAAAAAGACTGTTGAACTTTGCCAAAACAAGGCAGGACAGTCCTTCAAAATTCCTGCTTCACAGAAGAGTCTGCCAGATATTCTGCAGGACACAGAGGAAAGCAACTGACGAACTTTACAAATACAAGGTGGGATAGTGCTTCAAATTTCCTGCTTCACTGAAGTCTGCCAAGTACACCAGGCCTGTAGGCTGAAGATGAGTGCTCCAAAGTTGCAGAGGAACTTTGGGTGACTGTCTAGGTACCAAATGTCTCTGTTGTTAGGTAATATTACATCCTTCTGGATATTTGATGGAGTTAAAGACTAAATTAGTTATATTTTCCTTAGTTATGATAGAAAGTTAGGTATAAAATTTTGGACTAAGATATGATATATAATGGAGTAGTTTAAATACGGTAAATATAAATGGACTGATATTGTAAATTAATTCTTACTTGATAACTGTTTTTGTTTATGTAGTTCTATTAAAGTTAAAACCTTTCATTTTTATTTAGACTAAAAGGGGGAAATGTGGAATATTATTTTAAGGTGTGTTACATTTGTTTATGCTATGGAACATTTGTTTAGTGATGCAAAGATGTGTTGCATTCTTTTATGTTGCCAGTTGTTTAACTTTGTGTTATTTTGCCTGTCAAAAATACCTGATTGGTCTAATAAAGAGCTGAATGGCCAATAGTGAAGCAGGAGGAAGGATAGGCGGGGCTGGCAGGCAGGGAGAATAAATAGGAGAAATCTGAGAGGAAAAGAAGCAGGAAC